GGTTCCCTAACCAATGTCAGCTCATGATGAAATCCTATAACCAATCAATCAAATCCCTACAAACCAATACTTGAATATCATGCAAGAAGAATTTGAACAATTTAGACAACAAAATTCCAGTCTTAGTAGATGTCTTAATCAAGAGAACTAATCTAGGGTCTAATCTAGTGCTTCAGTGGCACAGCGGTTAGGAAGCTCGCCGACCATTCACATGGTCCGGGGTTCGATTCCCGGCCACTGGGCTCACTTCTTTACCTCGCTAAGCCAATAATAGAACTGGCAAAGAAGGAAGGTTGGGCATGAGGCTGGCTAGCAACCCCATCCTAAAAATAAACACAACCACTGTTACAGAAACTTCAAGCCTCTAGCTTGAGGGTGCCCTATGTTCCACCACTGGGAATGTGAAGGAAAAAAAACTAAGGGAATTTAGAAACATACAATATCAAATAGTTAACTATACTAGTAATAAGGCAATTACTACTCACAAAAGAGACTATGTGGAGATATTGTCCAAAAGAGTCCAATCATAGCATTGTGGTACTCGGATTCTGAAGAGAATGGAAGAGAAATACCCATAGAATTTCATCAAAATGTCTTTAAACTTAAGTCTTTTAGTACCAACAAGAAACCATTATCAAAGATCATAAGAAAACTCACTCTATCATATATAGGGAATATTTCTGAAATAACTGCTAGAATGTTAAGACCCTTTGAAATAGATATGGCACACAAGCCAGCCAACACAGTCACTTCATTCGATACTGTGCAAACCGAAAGATCCAACAAGAAAAGAAGATAAAATTAATATCATTTACAAAATAGACTGTACGAACTGCAATTAACCTTTACACGGATCAAAGTGAGCGAGTCCTAACCCAAGAACACAAATTCATATCGATGCAGGTAGATAATTACGGACACGAATTTTAGACAGAGCGAGGAACCAAGAAAAATGCATTCAAGGAACTTCTATCAGTCTGGTACTCAAATGAATCGGCGAGAAATTAACAAACACATTACCTCTAAAGACGATTATTACGAGGTAATAAAAAATGAATTACATGACCAGAATGTTTGAATTCGAAGTCAATAAAAATGACCAATAGAGAAGTAAATTAACAGCCGATCACAATAGTGGTTGTCATTTCATACAAAAACGTGCGCTGAAGCTATGTTGTCTAGAAGGGTGGAGGGTACAACGAAATCTACACGATTAAATCAACCAGCTCAGACAACACAATCACTAAACTAAAAGCATCCCTTGTGTTCCGAGTAGAACATAAGGCTTCAACAACACATCTCTACTTTGTTCTATTTTCTGCCATCCTCTTCATCTGGGTCCACGATCGCGCATTATATCTCATCTCTTCCTTACACGGTCTCCTCCATGTCACCCGCCGAAAGACGACCCACTCGTCAATTTTTAATGGGATTCCACTCGAGTGATAGCCTGGCGCGCGATGTATTTCGATGGTTTCCTCAATGTATGACCGATCCATCTCCACTTTCTCTTACATATTTGTTGAGCAACCGGTTCTTGGTTGGTTTCTTCCCATAGTTTCTGGTTGCTTATTCTTTCTGGCCATTTCATTAGTATAGAGCGAAGGGGGCGAATGTTGATGAAAGTCTGCAACAGGCTGTTGGAAATCCTTTTCGTTACACGCAGTGCAAGTTCCTGACCTGCATAGAAGAACCGACTTCACATTGGTGTTGAAAATCCGAATCTTGTTCCTTATGCTGGCTGAGTGCAGAAGATTTCCAAACTGGTTTCAGGTTGTTGAAGGCGTACTTTGCCTATCCGATTCTGGCTTGCTTTGACATCTTCATCCGTTCCGAATGCCTATTGCTGAAACGATGCTTCGCAAGATAAGTGAAGGAGGTAACCTCTTATCTTTATTCTTGCATTCATCGAGAGAAGACACATTCGCTGACTGGCTACCCGAAGGCTTTCACCAGTACACTGTGTCATTTCGCCTCTCCGATTCGAAGCAAGCTGGTGAAACAGCTGTCTGGTGCAGGTTTTCCAATGGTTTTCTAACCGATGTCAGCTCATGATGAAACCGTCCAATCAATATGGAATTAGTAAAACTTTACTTTCACTATTTGTTAATTCGAATATCTTACCTATTGTAATTTACTACTCCCGCATAGTCTCTCCTCATCTGTGCACAAAGGACTATGTGATATTGCGAAGTCTACTGAAGTTTGTCAGTAGGACAGGCAAGTGGTTTGTCATTATATCAATCCGTCACTACTGTAATTGGCAGAGAACTGAACTCATATGAGAAATAGTCTAAATCCGTGTCGTCTGATTCTGAATACCCTCTCTACTGCCAACTCTACCATCCCGTGTATCTCATCAGGTAGGACCAGAAATCACTACAAAAAATTATATGCTCATGCAAACAAGTACAGAAGCTCAGAGATAATCTATTTGGTCTGTGTGATAGGGAAAGTGTTAAGCGGGAAACCTACGACGTACCATGTTACTAGCAAAATAAGTGGCTCTTTTACCCTCTTCTATTTGTAATCTGTGATGACACTCTTTCAACTGACTTATAATTTTAGATGCTAACATTATTTATTAGTATATTATTATTTATTAGTATATTTTTGACTTTCTTGTCACTGCAAATACCAAAAGAGTTGCCATTATCAATCCTGTGATATTGTTTTTTTTTTCAATTTTTGTTTTCTCTGTTGTTGAGTAAATTAAATGAGGTGATATTGTACTGAATGCTGAGAATTCAGGGAGTACTGAATATTTGTTTTATCCCAGTATAGTTCTATCGTCTGGCCTTTCTTGGTCACCCCATATCCTGTCTATTTCCAAGAAAGTGCTTCGTCTAACCACCTTCTACATTAAGAAGTCAAGACAACCTGGAATTACTCAACCTTTACACTTACACTTTGTTAACTCTTGTATCTAAACTATTATCCTTTACTGCTCCACATCAGTCTTTCCTGGGTTACTCAAAAAGGACTATGTCATATTGCCAAAAATATTGAAGGTTGTTAGTAGGGTAAATTGTTTGCCACTTAGTTAGCTCGTTACTATTATAATCGACAAACACCTGGACTGATGTAAGAAATGGTATAAATTCATACTGTCTGACTGTCGTCACTCCCTCTATTCACAACTCTCCTCTTGCATCTCTTCAGGTAAGATTAGAAGTCCATTATGGACAAGGTTTTTTTGATAAAGTGTCACACAGTGTTATACAATAAAATTAACTGATGACCACATTTCGAGCACAAATTCATTGCTACTCATAATCATATCAAGCCAATCACACAACCTTTTACTTCATTTATATGCATGAGTGAAATTGATGATTAGACATTTGAATAAAGTCAGCAACATAAGATAATGTACGTTCAAAAATAATAATATGAGTGTTATCAATCAAATACAATCATCAGATAGGAAATAAGACGAGTGTTTTTATAGTCAAAATAACTAACCTTTTAGCATGTTTTGATTGAAGTGAATTGAAATAGAATTTTGAGATTATTTATTATCCTCCTATGATTTCGCTGACTGACTGGTGGTAATAATATCTTCCATGCACATTTCTGGTATTTGCATTGAGTCACTTCTATTGCATGTGTTGGGTGTAGACTCGATAAACCAGACAGGATTCATCAATCAATCTCTCTCCCTTTTCACTTACCTTTATTACTTTTTAGAATTTTAACCCTCTCCGACCCTATTGTGTGATTGTGTGTTAATGCATGCGGCGCAGTCACTGAGGTTTTTTTTTCATAAATTACTTATCTTTGTCGGATCCATCATTCTAACCCTAGCTTAACTCTTATCTCCTGATAATCTCCCTAATCCCGATCTACTAGTTTGACCTACGTATTTGACCTAACTCACAGTCATTGGAAGGTATTTTGTAAATTATATTATTATGCCTAATTGAGTCCACCGAGTCATTTAGCTTACGGAGCTTGTCCTACCTGAGTGAGTTTGTAGGTTTGAATGCCACCACACAAATTCCTGATTTATTAGGATTCCTACTTAGGGCCTCAGATATCCAAGTTTTATACTTACGATTAGAAATCATTATAAAAGATTATATACTCACTCTCACAAACAAGTAGACAAACTCAACGTTATGCCATTCTACCCGCCCTCCTTCTACGTGGTAAAGATGGTGTTAAACATGGAACTTACAACTTCCAGTGAAGTTCAATCATAAGAGGTGGCTCAGTTATTCCCCAGTATTTGTAATTTTACGGCGACACTGTCCCCATTATCTTAAAATTTTGTGTTATCAATTCTAATAGTATTATTATTGTTGTTATCATTTTACATTTGTACATCACTTTTAACCCGACTGTTTCTACTAATGCCAAAAGTTGATGTTATCAGCTTTGGTTAAGTGTACCCTGTAATGAACTTCTTTTTCTGCTGTTCTTGTTATCGAGTAAATTACTTGCGGTAATACTGTACTGTTTTGGAATAAAGCAAATCATTATTATTCTAATTATTATTTTGAAACTCTTCAGCTGTACGGACAGATTTAGACTTTAATAAAATTAGATTGTATGTTATGACAATAAGGGGCACTTAGAAGATACTTATAAATTCATATTCCTTTTTATGAATATTATTTTGCTGATCAAATATAATAAACTAACTAACTAACTAACTGTGCGTCGGTGGCACAGTAGTTAGGACTCTCGCCGACCATGCACATGGTCTGGGGTTCGATCCCCAGCCACTGGACGCACTCCTTTACCTCGCTAAGCCAAAAATAATGCTGGTGAAGAGGAAAGGTTGCGCATAAGGCTGGCAAGTAACCCCATCCTGTAAAAATTATCACCACTGCTACAGAAACTTCAAGCCACTAGCTTGAAGGCGACCTATGTTCCACCACTGGGGAACGTGAAGGAAAAAAACTAACTAACTAACTACATACAACGTACATCACAAAGTACAGTGTTTAACTAGCCGTTTCTATTGTGTTTTTCGTTTGTTTTTTGTACGATAGAAAATTCTGAAAATGATGGAAAATCAAGCAATACTCGACATTCTAAACGACATGTCAATTATCTGTGTGGATCAGATGGAAAGCTGATTGTTACCGCAGCTACTGCACCGGATTATGATAGAACTAATTAGTAAGTTTTTTGAAAAAAGTTTAAAAAAACCTAATTCATTATAACATTACATATATTAACGCAGTTAATAATGTACTGTGGACTGCTTGCCCAACACACGGCGATATTGGATTAAATCACATCACACTGTTGTTAGGTTCTGTAAGTATAAATACACTCTATTATATCCTGTGTAGGTCGGAGGCAATCGACAGGAAGCCCTGCCTGACATAGGTTTCGTTCTAGTCGGCACTCACCAGTCAGTCAGCTAGGCGTATTTGCAACCAACTTGAAGGAACTTATGTTCCTTGTGAGATTCGAACCCACGTCACCATCCAGTGCTGCAGTCTGTCAGAGACGTTACCACTGAGCTATTCAGGCCTTCAACCATCTAATATCAACAATTCACAGTGCACTGTGATGTGGAGCCACCTAGTAATGGCGTGGTGGCCACGTTGCAAGCTTGACTGATAGAATTTAGTCCATACCAAATATTTGGGAAGACTAGACACATCACACTAGTTAATGACTAGTGTCCAGTCAAAATGATATCTCTAACTGTCCTAATAAATATGATATGATATGCTACGCTGTATTTTCAAAGCTTATGCATAAAAGTTGTGCATCAGTGGTTCAGAGTTGAAACACTTGCCAACCGCGCCTCATGCGGTCCGGTGCTTGGTCCTCAGCCGGCTTGATGCCCTTCTAAACCTTACTAAGCTGGTAAAGGGGCATGAGGCTAGCAACTCAACCCCGAATCCCCACAAAAGATAAAAACCACTCCTACTGAAACTTCAAAGCCCAAGCTCGAAGCCCTGTGTTCGACAACCTTTTCTTCATAAGATGCCATTAGCGCTTAAATCATCGATTGGCAGAAGGCAAAATTCATGGACTAACCGACTAGCTATTGGGGAGTGGGGAAGGTTGTACATTGGCACCTTGTCAGTGAAATGAGTTTGTAGTTGTGATGAGCCAGGAAGTAGGCTGGTGAAACAACTGGCTATCCAGTACTCCACTGCTGGTTTTCCAATGGTTCTCTAACTGATGTCAGCTCATGATGAAATCCTTCATCAGACATGTAAGTATATACATATATATCTGATTGCAGTTAGTATACCATTAAGTTGGTGTCAAAGTTTAACATCAAAGCACTAGTATTTGATATTTCTTGATGGTGATATTTTCATTATCGTTTATAAAGTTTTCTTCGTTTTGTGAATAAGTTGTCGTAATGATTCCAAAGTTAATGTGACGTTGACAATTTCCTTGATTCATGTCAAAAATGTGCGAAATATAAAATGAAAATAACAAATATAATAATAACGGGAGGTTTGTTTCAAACAATAATGTCGATACAGTATGGAAATTTTAGGCATGCTATAGAGTATTGAATCTAATGTTCTCTTGATATAGTATGGTGATGGCAAAAACAAAAAATTGATAGCTATTACAGAGCCTGAGTGGTTTTCACAATTATGAACGAAAAAACAGGGGAACTATAAATATAATATGAATAATAACAATAAGACTTGTTGCTATAGGGATAGAGAAAATTCCATAATGGATAAGATTTTATTTTGGCGAATCACACAGTGTTGTACAGTAATATTAATATATTATTACTTTCAAGTATTGGTTTGGTAGGGATTTTGTTTAATTGCATGGAGGATTTCATCATGAGCTGACATCAGTTACAGAACCACAGGAAAACCTGGGAGTACTGGACAGCTGTTTCGTCCTGGTTGGGGACTCTTCAGCAGTACGCACCCACCGGGATTCGAACCCAGGACCTTCTGGTTACAAGGTGAGCTAGCCCGTAGGCCATTGAGCCACTGAGACCCGATCCAATGGTCCTTGAATCCTAACTTCTGCCAATTCACGACATAGCGCGACCATTTCGCAATGTCTTCTTAGATGAGTTACTGCCTCATTATTATTACTGCTCATAATCATATCAAGTCACACACACACACACTTTTCTTGCTTCATTTATATACATGATTAAAATTGATTAGACATTTGAGTAAAAATCAATATAAGATGAGAAAGTACATTCAGAAATAATAATAATATGAGTGTTATCAATCAAATACAATCACATGGGAAATAAGACGAGTGTTTTTATAGTCATAATAAGTAACTTGTTAGAATGTGAATTGAATACATTTTAACATTATTTATTGTCCTCTTCTGATTTAACTGGTGGTGATAATATTTTCCATTTCTGAGGAATTTCATTGATTCATTTCTGTTGCATGTGTTGGATGTAGACTCGATGAAGAAGGATTTAGTAATCAATCTAACTCGCTCTCAACCTACCTACATTACTTTTTATAATTTTGGTTCTGTCCCATCTACCGTATTGTGTGTGGTTGTGTTAATGCATGTAGTGCAGTCGCTGAGGTTTTCTTCTAAACTGGGATCAATCATTCTTACCTGAGCTAAATTCTTATGTTTTGATAATGTCACTACTCCTGATCTACTTGTTTGACCTATGTAGTTGACCTCACTCACAGTCATTGCAAGTTTTTTTTGTAAATTGTATTATTTTGTTAAATTGGGTCAACCTGCAGGGTCCTTTAGCTCACAGAGTTTATCCTATCTGAGTGAGTTTGTAGGTTTGAATGCCACCCAGCCTAATTCCTGCTTTATTGAGAATCCTACGTGAGGAGGGTCGCAGATGTCCCCTCCTTATGTGGTAAAACTGCTGTCGATGCCTTGTATTCTTTCTTATTTATGTTATCATTATTAGTTTCACCACTATTTTTATTGTTCTTTTGACATTTTTTGGTATTCTTAATAAATTTTATAGGATAGTTAGTTATTTAACATCAACGCTTCTTCTATCTGCTATGATATTTGATATGATTATGAGTGGCTATAATTTGTGCTTGAAACGTGGTCATCAGTAAATATTACGGTATAAGACTGTGTGACACATTATCAAAATAAAATCTTATCCATATTGGAGTTATACTCTATCTACCACAGTGCTCAAGTTTTATACTTATATCAATAGAGAAAATTGTTCATTAACTGGCGGGAAGGTTAGTTAGTTACTTCGTGTCTGACACTATTTCCATGACGTAAAATATGTGTCGCAAAATATGGTATCGTGGAATTTTTATACCTAGACGTGCACGCGCGTAACCTCTTTTGAAATAACTTCTTGTTCTATCTGAGGAGATGCAGCAGGGTGAAATCTGTGTGTAGAGTGGATGCTCACAGTATGACGAAATCCCTTTAGCATGAAACTGAGTGCCTCTCATCAATGATGATGTCAACGAAATGACCCAATGAAAGGTCACTCACCCTACTGACAATCTTCAGAGTTCTACGAATTATGGCGTAGTCCTTTTCCAGGCAGCCTCGGAGAGAATATGAGTGCGCAATACGGAAGAATAGGTACGATACACGAGTAGACAAAGAGGTTGAGTCATGTTTGAGTACCTTAACTTCCTAATGTAAAGCGTCAGACGGAATAGTTTAGGAGTAGAAATCGCTAAGACATGCGAAGATCAGGATAGATCAGAAGAAAGAGTATTATTCCAAGATACTCAGTGTTAGACTTGATTTCTCTTTCAATTTCTATCATCAGTTTTACGATGATCATAGGAAGTAACAGCGTCAGCATTTAACTTTCTTTTTAACATGTGAAGCTGAAATGTGCATAAACACAACACACTGTGTATCTATCAGCTTGATATTGCACTTCATTTACTGGTAGCATTATCTCAGAAATATTCATACATACATAAATATACCTATATTTTTTCGGCGAATTCATTCACATAGCTATACAATCACATTTATATATAATTATTTGTGTGTGGGTGTGTGTACATGAGGTTTGTCAAGTTTAGATAATTGATTAGTTAATACAAGAATGATGTAATATAGAAACAAAGTTAATCAGACAGCAACTAAAGTAAGATTGAGTTAGTAAGCTAGATGACGTAATATAATTGACTAAAATGTTTCAACTTAGATCAGAGGTAATTACAGGTAGAGACTAAGTAAAAGTGAAATTGAGCACTGAAAGTTCTATCCACAGAAAATCGACGTGGAACGGACAGCTTACTAATTTTCACAGTTGGGTACCCCTATACACCAAACGAAACATGATCCGTTCACTCAGCTACAGAGTTCGCAGAATCTGCACCCCGGACGCCGTAGAAGATGAACTGGACAATCTCAAGAGAATCCTCGTCGAGAATTGTTATGCGGAAAGATTTATTGCAAAATCTATGAATCCTAGACCAGAAAAGCCGCCCTTGCTTAGCGTCCCGACAAAACTACTCTACATGAACCTTTAATTCAATGGAGATATATCTGCAGAAACACTAAAAGATCGACTGTCGCGCTCACTTAACAAGGTCTTCTTCGCAGTTGGACTATGATAAACCTTCTCCACAAAACTTATGAATCATTTGAACGTGAAGGATAAGCTACCGCTGATGGCCTCATCAATGTGTATTTATCAATTCACCTGCTCTTGTGGAGGCAGGTGTGTCGGCCGTACCCAGCGCTCGCTTTCCAAACGTATCACCGAACACCTACCAACATGGTTTTACAAAGGAGAAAATTGAAGTCTCCGCAGTTCCATCTTAGAACATCTGATAGAATCCGGACACCAAGCTACACCTCAAAAAAACTTCAAATTGTCTACAGAGTAAGAAATAGTCTTCCTAAAGGTGTACGAATCAGACTCCTTCGTACTGCAGAAGCAATGGCAATTCACTTGCTAAATCCTGAACTCTGCATACAGAAGAAGTTCGTTCAATCACTACACTTGCAATGGACGTAATCTATCTTATTAGCCGACAAGTAAATACTACCTAATCTTTTCTTCTGTCTCTTCATTAGTATTATTTTGTCTTCTCAAGTGTAATATTTCACATTTTCAACTTTCTTGTTCTCTACCCCCACCCGATTCAATTTTTTCACCTTCTACCACTGTTACTGACTTGAACAATGTTCATTTTTTTAGTCATTTATGTTACGTCATCCAACTTATTTGC